CAAGATGGCAGCCACCTAAGCAAAGTATTTTTTAAACTCTTTTGGCAAACTTGGCGTCAGTTTCATATTTTTAAGCATTAGAAACACTCAAATTTATGATTTATTTTAAATCATATCTCATTTAAGTTCTCTAATTTGCATATTACCAATATGGATGCCATCCCAAAAATTTAATTGACACAGATATGAGAAACATTTTTACTTATTTTTTTAATATACTTTATTAATCCCTGAGGGGAAATTCAATTTTTCACTCTGTTGTCAGTTACACACAGGTCCAAACACACACATGCACAAACAGGACTCCTACATGCACTAAGTGGAGAGATGTCAGAGTGTGGCTGTTCATGATAGGCGCTCTGAGCAGTTGGGGGATTCGATGCCTTGCTCAGGGGCACCTCTCCAGCTACCAGTCCATGCTACATATTTTGTTCTGGACGGGGACTTGAACAGACGACTCTCCGGTTCCCAACCCAAGTCCCTATGGACTGAGCTACTGCTTGTTGCAGTTGCACCACAACCACATGGTTAAGTTTAGAAAAAAAGTGTTTGTTACTAAGGTAACTTCATGTATGATGTATTTTGGAGTGTATTTACGTTCAGTCTGTCCAGGCTGTTTTGGGAACTGTTGCAGCCTGAAATGCTCTATAAGGTTCTATAATGAAATTTGGTTTCACTCAAATTTGCAGTAAAGTTGCAGTGATTGGACAAATTTGCAAGGTCATGCAGAATTCACAGAGACTGGCTAAATTTGCATCAGTTGTTGCGACTGAGGGACTGGATACACATCAGGTGACATACGTTGACATACTACAATATGTTGGTGATATAATGCAACCCTGACTTTTGGTTTCATACGAGACAAACAGTCCATCATCCGGTCTCCAGGATGAAAGTCCTGTGCTTGTTTGACCCATCCATCCATTAGCCTGTAGTGTTCCTTTTTACTCTCCATACTATGTCCCCTTTCTTCTTTGCTTTCATAATAATTACTGCAGCCAATGGTGCCTATAAGAACCATAAATATGGGTCGTAATTTATGCAGCCCAGTTGTCAGAAGAAAATGTCCGAAATATGATCTTTTCCTGATCATAACCACACATTTGTGTGGCTAAACTGAGCCATGTTAACCACAGCACTGTTGAAACAAAAATAAATGTAAAGTTTAACTGTATCTGCTTCATAATGATATATAAATGTAACTTTTCTGTGGTTTGCAGAAATGTACAATGCCAACATTTATTCTGCTGGTTGGGTTACATCTCTGCTTGTGAGAATGACCTGTGTGGTCGTATTTTGGAGGTCATAGTTAGAGTTGGTGGTCATGTATGTAAATGGAAAGGCCAAACAATAAGTTGTATTGGACTGTATTCAAATGTACCTAATGAAGGTGCCACTAATAGGCTACGTGTTTGTTGGGGAGACGCCCTCCTGCAGCCTCAGACCACACTGGTTCTGTCCTAAATTACAAAACTACTGTACAATGTCCTGCATGAAATCCTGAACATGTTGGGAACTAAGCTCCTGATCCAGTCAGTGTCTCTTCTCTTTGGTCTTCCTCACATGCACATAACTAAAATAACCAGAAAGAAGAAAAGCCCATAATGCCACTGTCTCTGGTTGGTAAAGGATAATAACGGAGCATTTTCCACTGGAGTGCCTGACCCCTCTGACTCATTCCAAGAAAGCTACTTTCCACAAAATCTTATGAATATATTCATGTAAATGAAAACGGCCATTAACTGAGGCCTTTGTGTGGAGTATTCATGAGATGAGACTCTTTTAAAATGATGTACAGTGTTTAACACATTATAAATTGTTTTTTTGAATTGTCTCTGCGGGGCTGAAGAGTCTTTACATCTGTGTTGTCAAAAGTTAAATCTAAAATTTGAAGGAACAGTGTGGGCGATTTAGTGGCATCTAGCGGTGCAGATTGCTACCAGCTGAAACTTCTCCAGTGTTCCAAGCGTTAGTCTCGCCACCAGACAATCAGAGATCTCCGCCTTCTGATAGTCTGGGGACACTCCTTTCTAAAGTGTGTTTAACTCACCGGCGAAAACGGCCGGCAACAAAGCAACGCCTCTTGCATTTTTGAAAAGGACACGCCTTCTCAGAAATGTGCGCTCCTCCTTTTCTAGTCCGCAAGGAAACAAACACACAGAGAGGTTGAAAATGGATGCCGAGAGATTTAACTCCGTTTTATCAAACGTGTGCTCATCCGTGAAGAAAATATTTTTTCCAGCAGATGTCTTAGTTACAACATTATTGAGCTAACTGGAGTAGTTTCATGTCGTATCCGACAACGGGAGGCTTTTAACAGATGACGTCCTGATGTTAGCTTTGCTGCTGCTGTTAGCTGTCCCTGTCAGCTGCAGCCTATGATGCTTTCTAGACATCGTGATTTCCTAAAACTGAATAAATACCACACATAGCAACACAAAACAGCTTTGCTAGCTCAATCATGTTGTAACTAAGATATCCGCTGGAAAAGATATTTTTTTCACGGACTGTTTAATGAGTTATTACCTATTACAGACACCGTTAACGGCTAACAGGGCTAACAGCTAACGGTTAGCCCAGCTAAACGTGCACACAGAAATAGTAATGTTTGTTCAATCATTGTGTTTATAGACTTTACAAACATCGGATTAGTCCAAACGGTGATACAGTGATGTGAAAAATGTAATATATAGGCTATATATATATAGCCAAAAGCTCTGCTGGTTTTCTACCCGGAAGTATTTGTAAACAACAAGGCGATTGCCTCTATAGTCCGGCCGGACGGATGAGTCATGGCCTTGTAAAAGATTATGTTTGTTTCTTTTAGTTGGCGAGAATGTGTCGCCGCAAACGCGATAAACACCCACTAACTCTGACGGCGTTTTCTGCGAGCACGGCTGAGCCATTTTGTACCGCTACACTTGTTTCTAGTGGGACTATGTTTACGAGCACAAGAGTTCAGCGAGCCACCGAAGGACCGCCCTGCAGATTTACTACTGGTTCTGCAATGTAGGGAGTTTTTTAAACTCTGAAATTGTATCCGCCCATCTAAACACAAAATCAGGGAGAAAGTCATCAGTCTTTAGTTAAGCAAAGCGTCTAAAGACTGACTTGTGAGTCTAGCCAAGCGTGAACTCCCAGTCAGAATTCCTTCAGTGTTCATTGTTCAGGAGGTTTTTACCAGGAGCTGAATTATCCGCAGAGGTCTGTTCCTTTCCAAAACAAACAGACCAGGTGATTTAAATCTGTAAAAACACAGAATAAAGTAGTTTCAACTTTAAAAACTATGTTTTTCAAACACTTTTTGGCATGTTGGAGACAAGCTGTTAGCCTAGCACCTACTGTGCCCTCACCTACTGTGTGATAATGAGCCGGACGTTCAGGAGGTTTTTATCAGGATCCAAATTATTCACAGAGGTCTTCTCCTCACAAAAACAAACAGATCTGGTGAATTAAACCAGTAAAAATATAGAATCAAGCAGTTTTCAATAAAAAATGTGTTTTTCCAAACCGGTCTCACTCCAAAATTGTTGAAATCCAGCGCTTGGGCAGTGACATGTGGCGTCAGACACTGATGTAAAAAGGCCTTCTTAAACGTTGGTGTAAAATGCAGCTGGCTGCCGTTATAGTTGTACAGCACCCGGCGGCCTCAGAGGGAAACGCGGCAGGACAAGGACAAAAGTTAAATTGGCAAAAGTCTGAAAGGTGGAGGCAGTGGATGGGTCCAACAAACGCCAACTTTCATGTCCTGTAAGACTGTAAAACCAAACCCTTGTTCTTGTTTCCTAAACGTAACCAAGTGTGTGTGTTGTTGAAGGAAAAAACATCAGTTGGCGGTGTTGTACCGACGTAGTGCTTTTATTTTGAAAGCGACTGTATGCAAACTGTACATTTCCTGTGAAAACAGAAGTGTATTTTGAAAACAGACAATGCATGTAACAGGCTGAAGTTGACACGGCGTCCCAGAACGTCAACAACCAACACACCCAGGGTACCTTGGACGTCAGATTTAAACACCGACGGCTCATTTCTGATTTCTTTCTCTCGTGCTTCTGTCTGTGTTTGATGAATAATAAAGACTGATAGGCTACTTGCTGTCCATGTATTGATACACTATCGGCACGTAAAATATCACGATACTACGCTGTATCAATTTTTTCCTCTCCCCTATCAGCGCCCTCCTGAATAAGGTTGATAAACAGCTCATTAGTTTCTTTCAAAAATAATTTTCTAATAATTCTCTCTCTTTCCCTCTTATAGCCAATTTTCAAAAAAAAAAAAAAAATTGTCACCTTTAATAATGTCTTGCAGTTTGGGGGAAAAACAGACCAGGTGATTTAAATCCATAAAAACACTGAATGAAGCAGTTTCACGTTGCATATCAGTGTTACTCATTACAGATGGCCTCTAACAATGGTGGAGGATGTGGGAATGTATAAACACACATGTCTCTATCCAGAGCCAGTGTTTGGTTTGTCCGTTCTGGGCTACTGTAGAAACATGGCAGTGCAACATGGCGACCTCCATAAACCAGGACCTGCTCCTTATGTATAAACGTCTCATTCTAAGGTAACAAAAACACAATGATTCTTATTTTCAGCCGATTATACACCAAAGAAAACGCACTTCTTATATAATACTCTGTTTCTGCCAACATATCCATCTCAAACCTGCACACTGCGGCTTTAATTCAAAATTTAATGAACACATTTTGGAAAACAACTTTGCTCAATAAATCATTCAGCACCTCAGTAACACGTGCTGAAGTTTCCTCTGGTTTTTAGGATGCTGCTCTCTGCAAAACATTTAAAAACCTTAAAGTCAAAAATAAGAATATATGAAGTTAATGTTGACAAAGAGAGGAGGAACAGATCTAAGCCTGCAGAGGGGTTTATGGAGGAGGAGAAGCCGACCCACTCACAGCTGTTGATCAGAGAGACAGACAGAGGGAAGAGAGCAGGAGAGGAAACTGAACACAGGGGGAAGCAGAGAGAGGAAGAGAGGCAGAGCGTTAACCATGCGCACATGAGAGTCGGAGACAGGAGAGAGAGAGGGGAGGGCAGCTGAGGGAGAAAAAAGGCTTAATTAATTCAGGGTGGATGGGAGGGATGTTGCTGCTGTCCCCGCCGAGGCTCCAGTGCCTCTGCTGTCGTGCTGCATGAAGCCGAGTGTTTGTGTGAGCAGAGAGAGGACGACTCGGCTGCTGCTGCTGCTGCTGCTGCCGCCGCCTGCTCACTGGGAACCAGACACCAGTCCAGCCCAGCCACGACTCCACATCCTGGAGCCCACTGACTGACTGACTGCCTGTCTGATAGCTTCAGTAAAACAGGGATGTTACATGGACTACAGTGGGAGCAGCAATGGCCAGAGGTAGGGAAGACTTTCTCTGATTACTCCCCCCGTCCCTCTTCTCCCTTGTCTGTCTCCTTCTCTTGCTTCCATGTCGATGATCATGCTTACTCTTCTTCAGATCGTCTGATCTGTCTTTGCTGTTTCTCCCTCCTCTCTGTTATTCCAGCACACCGTTCTGACACATTTCCCTTCTTGTTTCTTGCAGGATTTCTTTTTACTGACCCAATTTAGTTGCTGCTTGTTTCTCCAAACATGCCATAACCTTTTCTCTCTCTCTAACTTTTTTTTTATAAAATATATTTACTGTGTGTGAAGCAGACGTGCTGATCAGGCTTTCAGTGAGGTTTTATGTGACATCACAACTTGTCTTGTAGTTGACGAGGTTTCTGGATGTGTGTTTGGGGTGGAGATGGATTAAAAACAAAATGTCTCATTCTACCTCGGGGAACAAAACAATTCAGCGCAGGATCTATGCTGTGCTGAGATGTGAGATCAGTTGGTATCCAGTGACAGGGTCAAGCATCACCTCTCAGGGTCAGGTCACAAAAAAATCAATCAGAAGGCTTTATTTCTTTTGCATGGGTAATGTAAGGAACTGAAAATATACTGTAACACGTTTCACTGGTAGGATGACCTTTGTTGGGGAGTTGTAAGGAGAAGGACATAACTGTTGTTGCAAAAACATTGCTCATAATCAGTCACTGCATATTTCTATATTTCAACCAGGATATGTTGAAGTAATTTGCATGTATAGTTTAGATTATTATTTTAATTTTGTGCCATCTTTAAGAAACAGAGGCTGAGATATTTATTGTGCACTGTGAGTCTAATGCTATCATTTTATATTTGCGTCTCTAATCATTGGTTTTTGAGTGTATGTTACGCGTCTTAATGTCACTCCCTTCTAATCCCAGGCTGCCTCTTTGAGAGCGACGCTTTAGCATGAGACGGCCGGCTTCTCGTGATTAATCTGCCGTTGGCACGCCTAATTACATCTCATCAAGCAATCACCAAATGCGATGGTTATTTATTCCTTGAGGGCATCCACTTGGTCGGTGATAAACACTAGGGAATCTGTGCCCGAGATTCGGCTGCGAGGGAGCAGAGAGGGCAGAGCTGAGAGGATCAACAGAGAGAATCAGAGAGGCAGAGGATGGATGGAGGGTGAAGGGGAGAGGATCATTCACGCTGCTCACCTTCTGAGTCCCATGAAAGAATCCCTGTGTGGGTCAGTGCAGGTCTGTGGAGATGGTTGTGATGGTGATGTGTGTGCCGTCAGACAGTAATTCATCACATGGATTAAGAGGTGAGCAGTCTGAGCATGGATCTGTGTGATTAGGACGAGAGCGTGCACTCAAACTGATTCCTTTAATAATTTGACAAACTGACCCCAATACAAGGTAACCCTGATTATGAGACAACTCCTCCCTGTTTTGCAACACTTGAGTTTTGAGGTTTTAGAGAAGAAGCAGTGAAACAAACTGACACGTTTAACGTCTTTTAAATCCAGTGGCTCGTTTACAAAAAGTAGAAACACTTCAGATCCCTATAAGCTAAATAATGGAGGTGTGTTGTACATGAATCTTTAACGCTCTGAGTGTTCTGAGTCATTATTGTCACAGACTGAATCAGAAGATTTTGGCATGCAGCTCCCCTCACAGGTGACTCAAAGCTCAGCCATGATACACTGTTTGACTCCCATGGAAAAAGAAATGGATGAAGGATGAAAAATCCACAGAAACAACGATGATGTGATCACTTTGTTGCACAGCTGCTGAGCTATTAAAGGGATAATTTGGATCTTTTGAACTGGGTTTGTATGGGGTGCTTATCCAGAGTCAGTGTATTTACTACAATAGATGCAAGTCGGCACTGTTGTTGACATTCCTGGACGGCGTGTCAGTTTATGCTTTTAACATGCATTGTGTATTTTCAAAATCCACTTCTATTTTCACAGGAAATGTACAGTTAGATGCATACAGTCTTTTTTTCAAAATAAACCTACAATGTTGGTAAAACACCTCGTATTTATGTTTATTTCAACCCGGTCTCACTCCAAAGTTTTCAAAATCCAGCACATGGTCAGCAAAAAAAGCCATCCTTCCGTGTCAGGGGGAAATGCGGCGGGACAAGAACGAAAGTTAAGGCAGCAAAAGTCCGAGTAGGGCGGGCAGGAGGGGTGGTGGATGGGACCAACAACCACAGACTTTCACCCAGGAGGCCAGTGGTCACTTCTCATGAGCTTGTAAAGCCAAACCTTGTTTTTATTTCCCTAAACCCAACCATGCGCATTTGTTGCAGAAGGAATATAACGTCAATTTGCAGTGTTGTCTTGACCAGAGCGTTTATTTTGAAAGAGACTGCATGCAAACTGTAGGGTACCTTGCGCAATTCCGACGTGGAAAGTCCATGACCAAACGTCTATATGTGACGAGTTCGGAGTGAGAATGAGTTGGAGAAGCAGGTAGGACTACTACAACAGAAGCTAAGCAGTGTACTGCTGTGTATGAAGGCAGCAACCAACAAAAATCAGTAACAGTTTAAGTGTACACTATATTTAGAATATCGTCACTGATGCATCTCACTGTCAGACTGTGATTTCTGACGAGGAACTGAAGCTGGTATATCGCTCTCTTCAAAGCCAGACTCCATTGAGAAAAACAGTGGTTTTACATTGCTGAAGCTGCAGTCAGTCATCAGGAGTCTTTGTGTTTGTGAGAAATGTAAGTCCTATATCCTCTCTCTTTTAGCTCTGTGTTTGGTCTCCACCAGCTCCTGAGGGAGTAATCTGTCTCTTTAGCTGCTGGATGCTCCTCTGTGTTCACCAGCTCGTCTCTAACTGTGTCTCTGTGCTGTCTGCTGCTGAGCAGGTAGAGTGCAGTGGGTTTTGGAGCTGAAATCAGCTGATTGCTGCAGCCAGACTCTACACAGTGAGAGCAGAGACTGAGGGTGAACCAGGACGGTAAAGATGTGGGCCGCACAGATAAACAATGAGCTGAAGCTGTAAGGCTTTGTGAAGCCTCAGGGGGCTGCAGATTCAGGTGATAGTGCTCTGTAGGTTAATCGCTACAGCCACTCCTCTCATGATGTCACATTGTTTTCACCATCATTTTAAACCCATTTGAAAATATTGATTTTAACCACTTTAAATAAAAATATTTCTCCTCTAACTGTACAGGCCTGGCAGGCCATCAGGCCAAAGAAATCATCCAGTCTAGTGTTTCCATTTATTCATTCTGTGGTGATTCTGAGGTTGGTTCAAATGTCTGTGATAACAGCAGGACACTCAAGTGTTTTATTTAAACTGATAAAGCGACCCAGTTTCACTCTGAAGTCACTGAAATCCGGTGCTTGGTCAGTGACTTCTGGGGTCAGACACTGACAAAAAAAAGCCCTCCTTTTACGTTGTCACGCGGCCTGTCGCCGTTATCCTTTAATGGCGCCTGACAGCATCAGGAAACACAACAGGACAACAACAAAATTAAGGAGGCAGAAGTCTGAGTAGGGTGGATGAGAGGGGTGTTGGATGGGTGCAACAACCATCTACTTTCACCCAGCGTTCACTTCCCGTAAAGACTGTAAAGCCAAACCCTGTTCTTTTTTCCTAAACCAACTGTGTGTGTGTTAAAGGAAAAACGTTAATTTTACCTGCTCTTTATTTTGAAAGAGACTGTATGCAAACTATACATTTCCTGTGAAAACAGAAGTGTATTTTGAAAACAGACAATGCATGTAACAGGCTGAAGTTGACACGGCGTCCCAGAACATCAACAACCAACAAACCTTGGACGTTGTATGTGGACGTGGAGAGTCCATGACCAAACGTGGACATGTGACGAGGTCGGAGTTTGGTTGCGTCAGTTAAAATCAATTGAACAGATGAAGTGACGATAACGTTGTGCTGACAGATTTGCCTCCACACTGGTGATAGCCGCGGCCGGAGGCATTATTTTTTCAGGTTGTCCCTCCGTCTATCCCGTTTCTTGTTAACACAATATTTTCAGTTAGCCTTAAGGGATTTTTTTTCTTCAAATATGGCACAAATGTCCACTTGGACTCAACGATAAACTGAGTAGATATTGGTAGTCAAAGGTCAGGGTCGCTGTGACCTTGTCTGCCTCATTCTTGTGAACGTGATATCTGAAGAAAATCTTGAGAGAATTTCTTCAAATTTGGCACAAAAGTCCACCTGGACTCAACTGATTAGAAAGGTCACTGTGGCCTCACAAAACATGTTTTTGGTCATTACTCAAGAATGTCTAACAGGATAAAATAATGAAGTGATGACATTTTATATCTGTAAGGTCAAAGGTCAGCTTGACTGTGACATCATCATGTTTTAACGTCATATCTCAGGAACAGAAGGGGAGACATTTGGTCAAACACTGAACACTTGAAACTGTCCTGATTGTGTCGATCTTGTGTGTGAAACATTCATGTTTTGGAATATGTAGTGCCTTTGTAGCAACATTTATATTTGAGGAATTGTCTGATATTACAGCTACATATGAATCTGGACAGATGTGCACGTGAACTGTATCTGCACATGGCTGGTTGGTGGAGGGATACAGAGTGAGATGGTAATTCTAGTTGTGTTTTGAGACCAGAGATACTCAGTTAACACAGACGATGCTGGTGATGCTGTTGTACCCTCAGGTGTCTGTTAAGTTCCTGGAAGTGATGTAAAGTATGTGAAGTGAGCTCCGTACCGGTCTGTTAAAAAATAGCCTTTTCAAATGCTACACTGCTCGTCAGCAATGTTGTAACTTTAGAGGCAATTTGGCCTCGTGTGCTCTGATTAATTTGGCATGCAGTTAACACACCAGTCATAATTTAGTTTTAATGAAAACTCAACTCCTGGTGTTCTGTTCTGGAGAAAAGAAATCACAGCAGTAACAGGCAAACCAGTTTAAAAACTGACGTACTTTGTTTTTAAATAAGTGCTGTGTGGTGGATGTAATTAATGCCAATGCAAAGAGAGGTTCATGTGGATTTAGAAAGTAACTGGTAAATATTTG